AAAAAAAAACTTTTTTTCTGAAAAAAAAACCACTTTCAGGGTCATTTTCCCGCTCATTTAATTTAATGTCTTTGCAAAAAATCATTAAAAGTATGACTCCCCAAATTTTTTTTCCCATTTCTTCCCCCCCCCCGGGCCCCCCCCCCCCCCCCCCCCAACACTTTGTGCCTCGCTTCGCGAGCTTCGGTACTCTCGCGTTAAAAAAAAAAATAAGGGCTATTTTCAAATCCTGGGGAGAACCCTGCATTGTGGATATAAATGCATTTTTAACAAAAAGACGAATATATATCATGAATCTTATATTATTGTTATATAGTGTTGTTGTTGTCTGCTTTTCCCGCGGTTTTCAGTAGGTCACCAGTGACTATGCAATGCCAGAGAGAGCTCCGTCAGTTAAAATCTCTTAAGAGATTTTAACAAAAAATGTACGTTTAGGAAAAAAACCCTGGACTAACTTTGAATGCAGGAATGGGGTCGTTGACCATTGGTAAGTAAGGGAAAATTGCCGTTTTTTTCCAGGAAAATCCATTTTTTGGCCAAAACAAAGAGTTATTATGACTTTGAGCTTCTTTTTGATCAATAAAGTACAGACCATTTCAAAATATATGTACATACCAGTTTGTTGGTTTCCTAAGGTCACTGATGTGCATCAACTCATGAAGACACTCTAAATGAGGAAATATATCTTTTGCATGATCTAGGAAGTATGGGAATAAGTCTGCAACATGACCTGACAAAATGAGAATAAAACAAAATTATCCATTCAACAAGACAAATTCAGAAAGAACAGAGTAATCTTTATTTCATCTGACTTTGGGAGGCCATCAGGAAATTAAGTGACTTGCTTTTAAGTGGGTTGGCCATATTTGATCTGCAGATCTGTTAGCCTACAGATCAACTAGTTCTGAATACGGTCTAAAGGTGTGTACTTAAATCAAACAACTTTGAAACAAAACATTTTTTAAAAAATAACTTAAGATATCCCAGTAATGACAAAAAACATATTGTTTGACAAATAAGATCAGGCCCAATTTATAAAACATGACCTGTTTTTTAGCCTTACAGATAATTTTGCTGATCTAAAACAAAATGCTTTCAGGAAGCTGCAATAACTTGAAACAAGCATGTCTTCCACACCCACAGCGATAGGTGATGGATATATGTACAGTGACAACAGTGACTTGCATACAAATATGAAGACAAAACTTAAAACATTCCAAATGACTTTTTACCATTTTTCTGAGACAGGTCATGAAGCAATACATGAAGACTTGTAGGTAGTTCCTCAGCCTCCAATAAAGAACTTTTGAAACTCTTAAATGATTGCATATAAAGTGCCCCTGAAAATAAAAAGGAGGGCTATGTGCAGAACAGAAGTTATCTCTAGCAGAAATGTTCTATTTCAGTGGGGATTCTTGCTATTAGAAGGCAAAGCCAGCATAATCAGCTTAATTGTCTGGCATACCCCCTCACAATTTAAAGTTCTTGGGTAAAGTCAGGGAAACTGATGTTGTTCATTTTGATATGCAAGGGGGCGTGCCAGATAATTATTAGTAAGGTGATTACAGTGACTGCGCCTTAGCGAGATTCCCCACTGAGATAGATTGATCAGGACTGCTAGTATGATCACTTTTATTCTGAACACAGCCAATAACTAAGTAACTGCTCTAAATTCAGATGTGATAAGATACACAACCTACAGATTGAATGCTAGATCTAGCCTCTTTGAATCATCTGAGTATCTCTTGCAACTACAAAATATACTTTATTTTTACAGCAACTGTTAGCATATCTGCATGAATAAGGTTGAAGTAACATTATCTCGAATTGATACAGCAATGTTTTTTGTTCACAATGATTATTGTTTAACGACTTTCATTTCCACTTTCCTTTCAAGAGGAACTTACTATCCAAGCCTTGTTCTTCTCCCAGTTTATACAAACTTTCATCTTTGGCAAAAGCAGAGAGCACCCTCACAATATCAACTGTAAAACACCATGTTTGCATTAATTCATTACTTTTTCAACAATAGTGCATTACATAATTAACTTAATAAACATTTTCAAATGAATGTATCTAAGATGAAGGATCAGATGACAATTTCATAAATTTTGAAGGAAAAAAATATTATTTTGGGACATTTTCAAATGCACGAAAGATACCCTCAAAGGTATCTCATTAGTTTAAAATCAAGAATCACCGAGTATGAAGTATTAAAAAGTCACATTTTGGTGTTAACAATACAAATGACAGTTATATGTACAAACAACAGTATCCGACATACAATTTAAATGCACATCTTATAGTTTCTAAGGTTAAGAAAGGAATGACAACATCAGATAAGCCTTTTTTAGAAGTTTTACCATATTTAATATTGGAGTTGGGAAAGATATATGANACAAAACTTAAAACATTCCAAATGACTTTTTACCATTTTTCTGAGACAGGTCATGAAGCAATACATGAAGACTTGTAGGTAGTTCCTCAGCCTCCAATAAAGAACTTTTGAAACTCTTAAATGATTGCATATAAAGTGCCCCTGAAAATAAAAAGGAGGGCTATGTGCAGAACAGAAGTTATCTCTAGCAGAAATGTTCTATATCAGTGGGGATTCTTGCTATTAGAAGGCAAAGCCAGCATAATCAGCTTAATTGTCTGGCATACCCCCTCACAATTTAAAGTTCTTGGGTAAAGTCAGGGAAACTGATGTTGTTCATGTTGATATGCAAGGGGGCGTGCCAGATAATTATTAGTAAGGTGATTACAGTGACTGCGCCTTAGCGAGATTCCCCACTGAGATAGATTGATCAGGACTGCTAGTATGATCACTTTTATTCTGAACACAGCCAATAACTAAGTAACTGCTCTAAATTCAGATGTGATAAGATACACAACCTACAGATTGAATGCTAGATCTAGCCTCTTTGAATCATCTGAGTATCTCTTGCAACTACAAAATATACTTTATTTTTACAGCAACTGTTAGCATATCTGCATGAATAAGGTTGAAGTAACATTATCTCGAATTGATACAGCAATGTTTTTTGTTCACAATGATTATTGTTTAACGACTTTCATTTCCACTTTCCTTTCAAGAGGAACTTACTATCCAAGCCTTGTTCTTCTCCCAGTTTATACAAACTTTCATCTTTGGCAAAAGCAGAGAGCACCCTCACAATATCAACTGTAAAACACCATGTATGCATTAATTCATTACTTTTTCAACAATAGTGCATTACATAATTTACTTAATAAACATTTTCAAATGAATGTATCTAAGATGAAGGATCAGATGACAATTTCATAAATTTTGAAGGAAAAAAATATTATTTTGGGACATTTTCAAATGCACGAAAGATACCCTCAAAGGTATCTCATTAGTTTAAAATCAAGAATCACCGAGTATGAAGTATTAAAAAGTCACATTTTGGTGTTAACAATACAAATGACAGTTATATGTACAAACAACAGTATCCGACATACAATTTAAATGCACATCTTATAGTTTCTAAGGTTAAGAAAGGAATGACAACATCAGATAAGCCTTTTTTAGAAGTTTTACCATATTTAATATTGGAGTTGGGAAAGATATATGACGCTCTGCAGGATAAAATATGATTTTGGGACACTTTCATTTGAACCAAAGATGCCTTTAAAGAATGTGGGTTATCCCTAAATTGTGCAACAATACGGCACAATACAGTACTACACAGCGCAATACACTTGAAAAAAAAAAAAACGAGTCCAGTCACAAGCAAACACTGGAAATGGTCATTCCAAACAAAATAGGGTGATATAGGAGCCAAATATACTACTAAATGAATAATAGCGTTGATAAAACTTAACAAATCGTCACCATTTGTTTATCATCAGGTCAGTCGCAATGTTGGTTAGTGGCTCTTCTTGGCTGGTAATACTGTCAAGAGGAGCCACAAGCCAACATGACTGCGGACCCGACGATATAGAAGTCTACCCATGTGTTAAGTTATATCAATGATATTAATAATCTAGTCAAATATTTTGCTTTTATATCACCTTATTTGTTAAATTGCAACTTTCAAGCTTTCAACTTTCAAGTTTGTTTTCAAGTGTATTGCGCTGTGTTACGCTAATACTGAGCACTATTGGGCAATTAAGGTCCACCAAAGAATGTGTTTTGGGCAAAGTAATATTTTGATATTTTCATTTAAATTTACCAGTGTACCTTTTTTTAATTCCCCAACCAGCTCTTTGCCGAGTACATCATCCTCCTGAAGGTCTGCTGTAAAATCCACTTTTATTGGCTTAACTAAATCACTTAGTTTTTTCTGTTTAATTCTTGTTATATTCACATTTCCACGTTGTTTCTGTTTCTGTTCCGGACGTGCAGTATTCTTTTTCTGCGCCATCTTCGAAGATTTTTTAGAAGAGGCATGTCGCAGCACACGTAATGTCAGATCTAAAGGAGGCTGTGTGCGCAGTTTTAAGTAAGTGTTTATATGTACAAGTCCTCGTCGCCACACGAACAGCATTTTTTATACTAGAATCTCCGTCATTCACTTCACAGACTCGAATATCTAATAAAAGTAATATCCAAAATTCTTATAAAAACTGGCTTACATGCGAGAATGCACGGAGAAATATAAAATGCCAATTTAGCCTACGTGCAAAATTCGTGGTAACCAGTAATGCCGTGGTCCATGTGCGCAGCCATGTTGAAAATTGGGGACTGTGGGAGACTGTGTATTTTTCAAGAATTTAAAAGAGATTTACAAATGGTTAAAATTTTCACTTAAATTACAATATATTGTTCAGTTGTATTTGTATTTAGTACAGTATTTTACTTTTTGGTACATATAGCGTTTATCTCGTTTGAACGCAACGGCGCTATACCAATATGGCCGCTCATATTCAAACGTAAACATTGCTTCAAAATTCGTGACATTCGTTAAGGTTGCATGGCATGGAGTCGGAGGTGGGTAGAGAATGAGTGGTAGCACAAATGTAAAAATAACAGGCTACTCTATATGTCTTTTGAATGATTCTATGCAGTAAAAGTATCAAAAATGCTTTATAGATATCTAATTTTTGTTTTTGCCCATTGACAAGATCAGTATTAACCATAATTGCTCTGACCTTAATTGCTTGATTTGCTGTACTCGACTTAAAAATGCCACATTAGTCTACCATAATGCAAAAAAGAAAAACGATCAACCTCTGACTTTCTCAATATATGCGCCCAAACTATGGAATAGGCTACCCATTGAAATTAGACCGGCAGATGACATATATTTTAATATACGTCTTTTAAAAAAGACTTTTAAAGACTTATATTTTTAGAACAGTGAAATACCATTGACCAAACAGCATATTAAATCAGCTCCCCATGCTCCGTCACCATGGGTAGAGCACTCTTCCAAAGTGAATCGTCTCAATCGATCGTATTCTCCGTGATATATATATATTATATGTATATATATATATATAGAGAGAGAGAGAGAGAGCAATTTTAATATTTATCACTTGCTATTATATATGAATAGGTGTGGTAGATGCAAATTTCTTTAGGATCATGGAAAAAGTTACTTCATATTCTTTATAATTATAGATAAATTTTATAATATTACCTATTTAAATAATGTTGATCAAATATGTCTCTAATGGTTGCAGATAATAGGGATAGTTTGTTTTTATTGTAGCCTGAATGGGGTGAATTAGCAGGAGTCACTGCATCAACAGCAGACAGCATTCTGCAGGAATCTCTACCAGACCAAACAGGCTTAGTGTCAGTTCCCACACTCTCTCAACATGCCTTGTCTCCAGAGAGTGGAGGAGAGTACAATGACAGCTTTAAGGTTATCGTCTATGTTTACAACTATATTTTCTTAACTTTAATTCAATAATTGTTATTTTAATATATAGTTAAGGGATGAATTCTTTTTTCTTTTTTGGGTAAAAGAATATTTAATTAATGCTTTTTTATATATATATGTTTATTATTGTTTATTTATTTATTTATTTATTATTATTATTATTATTATTTTGGATGGGATTGGGGCAGTATCAATTTTTTTCTTGAAAATGCCAGTATATTTGAGTAAGTATATGTGCATAATGAGAGTACAGTGACAGTTTTAAGGTTATCGTCTGTGTTTACAACCATATTTTCTTAACTTCAGTTGTTTTTTTAATATAGAGTTTTGGGAAGAATTATTTTGTTTTTTTTGGGCAAAAGTATGTTTTCTGTTTAATTCTTTTATAATGCTTTTATAATACATGTTTATTATTTATTTATTTCTTTATTATTATTATTAATATTACTATTATTATTATTATTATTATTATTATTATTATTTTGGATGGATTGGGATGGTATCAATTTTTTTCCTGAAAATGCCAGTATATTTGAGTATGTGNTGCTTTGCAGGATAAAATATGATTTTGGGACACTTTCATTTGAACCAAAGATGCCTTTAAAGAATGTGGGTTATCCCTAAATTGTGCAACAATACGGCACAATACAGTACTACACAGCGCAATACACTTGAAAAAAAAAAAGAGTCCAGTCACAAGCAAACACTGGAAATGGTCATTCCAAACAAAATAGGGTGATATAGGAGCCAAATATACTACTAAATGATTAATAGCGTTGATAAAACTTGACAAATCGTCACCATTTGTTTATCATCAGGTCAGTCGCAATGTTGGTTAGTGGCTCTTCTTGGCTGGTAATACTGTCAAGAGGAGCCACAAGCCAACATGACTGCGGACCCGAAGATATAGAAGTCTACCCATGTGTTAAGTTATATCAATGATATTAATAATCTCAGGGAGGGAAATGGGAATTTTTCAGCACTGGTCCACTTGGACCAGTTGACTCTGGAGGTAGTGGTCCTAGGCCTTGGGGCACTGGTCCAATTATGAAAGAATGGAAAAGGGGTGGATGGTTTAAACATACTGAGCAACTTCATTTTTTTAAAATTATTATTAAAATGCGCCAATAAAATAAAGCAAATGAAGTTTAATTTTCATGTTTTTATTTTGAACATATTTAAAAAAATTGAAATCAACCATATAACTCCCAAAAATTCATCAACATTTATTCACATTTTAAAAACTAAACAGCTTTTTCTCCCCACCTTTTATGGTTAAATGAAATGACGCCACATTACATTATAGGAATCGAGTATTTTAACTATTAGTTAAAAAATATAAAGGAGTTATTAATTTCTGGTAAACTGTGTTTACCCAAACAAGGTTTGGAATTAGAACAATGGGTTAACACCCATTGTATTAACACAAAATAGGAAGTCCCAAAAGTTGAAATATAACCATAAAATGGAGCAAAAAATCCTCGCCTTTTTATTTTCCTCAAAAATCCATAGCTGTTATAAAGGAAGGTACCCGCGCTCTCTTTTTTTTACATTTAGTGCTAGGTTGTTCACTTTCGTCATTTGTCGGTGTTTTTCGTTTAAGAGGCTCTGGCGGCTTTGCCACACCAGGCAAAAACCTCCACATCGCTATAAAATTGTAAGATAAGTTGAACTAATTCAATTCACACACTAAATGTAGTTTTGATTTAATTTCCAATAAGATAATATTTCGGCGGCATGCAAACGGTCCCAACGGGAAAAGTAACGTTTCTTGTAAAATCTTAAATGTACCTATAAGCTATTGACATCAAAAAAGACCAGAAATCATTTAAAGAATAATATTTGTAAACCCTTCAAAACTACAAAACAGCACTCATGTAAATTAGTATTTTTACAGAAAAGGTTTGTTGCGTATGTAGCTTTTCAATCCTCGAGGCTCTGCTACTTCATACGGCGCGAATGCTGTGGTAAAATCTGATTGGTCAAAATTGACAGTCTGATGCAAGAGGTCAGGTCGCATGCAAATAACGTCTGACGTGTTCGGAAGCGTCATTAAAATAGGTCAACACATCTGAAACTCGCGTAGTCTTCTATGCAGACAAAATTGGGAGCGGATTTTATTTAAAAAAGGAAAAATATCTAAGGACAAGTAAAAACCCCGTATATTTCTCATGTCGCCGCTGCTTATAGAGCAGTAGCCCGTTTGGACCAGTCACTGAGATTGGCACTCGCCAATTCGTTTTAGCGGTCGCATTTGGCGACTGGCGACCGCCCATTTCCCTCCCTGTAATCTAGTCAAATATTTTGCTTTTATATCACCTTATTTGTTAAATTGCAACTGCATTTGTGTTTTCAAGTGTATTGCGCTGTGTTACGCTAATACTGAGCACTATTGGGCAATTAAGGTCCACCAAAGAATGTGTTCTTGGCAAAGTAATATTTTGATATTTTCATTAAAATTTACCAATGTACCTTTTTTTAATTCCCCAACCAGCTCTTTGCCGAGTACATCATCCTCCTGAAGGTCTGCTGTAAAATCCACTTTTATTGGCTTAACTAAATCACTTAGTTTTTTCTGTTTAATTCTTGTTATATTCACATTTCCACGTTGTTTCTGTTTCTGTTCCGGACGTGCAGTATTCTTTTTCTGCGCCATCTTCGAAGATTTTTTAGAAGAGGCATGTCGCAGCACACGTAATGTCAGATCTAAAGGAGGCTGTGTGCGCAGTTTTAAGTAAGTGTTTATATGTACAAGTCCTCGTCGCCACATAAACAGCATTTTTTATATTACAATCTCCGTCATTCACTTCACAGACTCGAATATCTAATAAAAGTAATATCCAAAACTCTTATAAAAACTGGCTTACATGCTAGAATGCACGGAGAAATTTTAAAATGCCAATTTAGCCTACGTGCAAAATTCGTGGTAACTAGTAATGCCGTGGTCCATGTGCGCAGCCATGTTGAAAATTGGGGACTGTGGGAGACTGTGTATTTTTCAAGAATTTAAAAGAGATTCACAAATGGTTAAAATTTCCACTTAAATTTCAATATATTGTTCAGTTGTATTTGTATTTAGTACAGTATTTTACTTTTTGGTTCATATAGCGTTTATCTCGTTTGAACGCAACGGCGCTATACCAATATGGCCGCTCATATTCAAACGTAAACATTGCTTCAAAATTCGTGACATTCGTTAAGGTTGCATGGCATGGAGTCGGAGGTGGGTAGAGAATGAGTGGTAGCACAAATGTAAAAATAACAGGCTACTCTATATGTCTTTTGAATGATTCTATGCAATAAAAGTATCAAAAATGCTTTATAGATATCTAATTTTTGTTTTTGCCCATTGACAAGATCAGTATTAACCATAATTGCTCTGACCTTAATTGCTTGATTTGCTGTACTCGACTTAAAAATGCCACATTAGTCTACCATAATGCAAAAAAGAAAAACGATCAACCTCTGACTTTCTCAACATATGCGCCCAAACTATGAAATAGGCTACTCATTGAAATTAGACCGGCAGATGACATATATTTTAATATACGTCTTTTAAAAAAGACTTTTAAAGACTTATATTTTTAGAACAGTGAAATACCATTGACCAAACAGCATATTAAATCAGCTCCCCATGCTCCGTCACCATGGGTAGAGCACTCTTCCAAAGTGAATCGTCTCAATCGATCATATTCTCCGTGATATACTAGTATATATATATATATATATATATATATATATATATATATATATATATATATAGAGAGAGAGAGAGAGAGAGAGAGAGAGAGAGAGAGAGAGAGAGAGAGAGAGTAATTTTAATATTTATCACTTGCTATTATATATGAATAGGTGTGGTAGATGCAAATTTCTTTAGGATCATGGAAAAAGTTACTTCATATTCTTTATAATTATAGATAAAATTTATAATATTACCTATTTAAATAATGTTGATCAAATATGTCTCTAATGGTTGCAGATAATAGGGATAGTTTGTTTTTATTGTAGCCTGAATGGGGTGAATTAGCAGGAGTCACTGCATCAACAGCAGACAGCATTCTGCAGGAATCTCTACCAGACCAAACAGGCTTAGTGTCAGTTCCCACACTCTCTCAACATGCCTTGTCTCCAGAGAGTGGAGGAGAGTACAATGACAGCTTTAAGGTTATCGTCTATGTTTACAACTATATTTTCTTAACTTTAATTCAATAATTGTTATTTTAATATATAGTTATGGGATGAATTCTTTTTTCTTTTTTGGGTAAAAGAATATTTAATTAATGCTTTTTTATATATGTGTTTATTATTGTTTATTTATTTATTTATTTATTATTATTATTATTTTGGATGGGATTGGGGCAGTATCAAATTTTTTCTTGAAAATGCCAGTATATTTGAGTATATGTGCATAATGAGAGTACAGTGACAGTTTTAAGGTTATCGTCTGTGTTTACAACCATATTTTCTTAACTTCAGTTGTTTTTTTAATATAAAGTTTTGGGAAGAATTATTTTGTCTTTTTGGGGCAAAAGTATGTTTTCTGTTTAATTCTTTTATAATGCTTTTATAATACATGTTTATTATTTATTTATTATTATTATTATTATTATTATTATTATTATTATTATTATTATTTTGGATGGATTGGGACAGTATCAATTTTTTCCTGAAAATGCCAGTATATTTGAGTATATGGGTGCTTTCCCAGAGATTAAGATCGATCGAAAGATAAGTTTTAGATCGACCTAACTCCCTGGGGGTTCACGCTAAATTGCAGTCAGCCGAGCGGGCACCATAGTTAATTACCCCCTTACATCTTTTAGTAGGCGGGACAGACGCTTAAGCTGGCCAAGCTGACAGTAATCTAGTGAGACTCCCCACAGGGATAGATCGATCTAAAAATCTATGGAAATAGGGTGTATGTGCATAATGTTATTTTTCAGATTGGACCAGTTGATTTTCATGACAGTCGCGAAGAAGATCACTTCCAGTTATCACCAACTTATTCCAGTGGTACAACTGTTGAAGAAAGGAAACAAAACACAAAAACATCAGGTACAAAATATTCTTTAAATTGGAGTTTATGATTGAGATAAACAAGTCAAAAAATCAAGAAGCATAAAATTTTTATTTAAAAAACACAGTTAATTTAGTAAATATCATTGTTTATTTATTTTTTTTTAATGGGAAAATTTCTTTTATTCTTCTAAAATATCAATCACAGATTACACCCTGGATGACGTCAGTGCTCACATTTTGCGAAATACAGAGAGCTGTTACATCATATTGTATGTATGTGATTGCCAGCGCCCTAAAAGGTATAAATGGGGGACAAATAGGACCACGTGGCAGAATTAGCCTATCGCAGACCATGACTACTTGTCACCAAAAAAAAAAAAGCACATGACTGAAACGAGTTAGATCTAGTCTAGATGAAACTGTCTTCATGATTAGCAAATGTAGACAAGTATACCAGGTTTTTTCTTCACAAATTTATATTAGCATTATAATAGAAATACTACAGAAATAAAACAGACATCAACTACTTCATAGTGTTTTGTTTGACATTATCTTCTAGCTGTGTATAGATTTCCACAAGTTAGGACACAAGACA